CATCTAGGGCCCAATGAAGGGAAGTGGAACTCCTACCTCTAAAACGTCCCAGTTTGGTGTGCCACCCCGGCGTTCTTTGTTTCCACTGCACAGCTCGACTCATGGAATGAATGGGGGGGCAATGGCCGCACCTCAGCAACACGATCCGATAGCCCGGTTGTCTTCCTTTGAACCAGAATCGGTGGTCTCCTCAAATTTGAAGCACCAAAGGAACCTCATCTACAAACCGCAATTTCTACACCTCGCGATGGTGTCGGTTGGGTCCCAGATATATCCCCTGGTAAAAAAAAACCCAATGTCAAAGTGTATGGTTTTCTCACATTGTGTCCACCAGACTTGAGTGGGGTTGTGGGAGGTGAAACCCTGAACCGGTGTCAGGTAAAACTACTTCTACGATTGTAGTACATCACAAATACGGGTCCACCATCTCACGATTGCGCCCTCACGTCAATACCACTATTCTTTTCTCGCGTAGCGCCTTCGGCGTCTGTTGATAGACGATAGATGCTGCAATTGGCATATGAATACACTGTTCAGAAATTCAAAAATCAAATGAATCTTCCATCATCTCGTTGAGTTCATCGTCATCCGGCCACAAGAGATCTTCCGCTGCAGCCGCTGCTGTCTCTGAGATCCTATGGGCCTTGAAGGCGTCCGCTCCGGACGACTCACCCTGTGGCTCCTGATCTGGCCGCAAGATCGCAGCCGCTGCAGCCACTGGTGTATCTGAGATCATATGGGATGCACAGGCGTCCGAATCAGCCTGTGGCTCCTTGCCAGGTAATCCGAGAATACCCAGCCCAAGATCAAGCGCCAGTTGGGAATGCAGTTGTGGAGGGAAACGGAACATGAACAAAGCACAAGATTTAACAGTGCATAATGTTGGAAATATAGCCTCAGCGACAAAACATCAGATGTAACACCGCACAGTGTGGGAAGCAATTTCAGTAACAAAAAACTCAACCTTGAGAAGGGCCATCCCAGCAAAAAAGTAAAGTTGCGAAGGGCCAGGCATTCCAGAAAAACACTTTCCAACTTGGAATTTCCAACAACCAAAACATAACGTTGGGAAGGGCCATTCAAAGGAGATTCAATGAACCTCGCTGACCACCTGCGTTACACACTTTTGGGGGGGCAATACACCTCCCTTGGATGGCGCTTCGTAACGTTACGTTGTTACCCTTGCACGTTGCTTCCCTGTCCTTGAACAGCTTGTTTGGGCAGTCAACCCAAACAGTTCTCCGATCAATTGCAGCCTGATGACTGGAATGAAAATACTCTGGGGGCCAAAACTGTGGGACTTCATGGTTTGTAGTGAAGATCCTTGGCGTTTGCGCTGGAATGTGTCCGTCAGAGCAACGGTTGTGCACATCGCGTGCGTGAGTCACATCGCACCAAGCTTTCGCATCATCAATGCTCACTGTCCTGAAACAAGCCTCATCGACAACAAGTCCCTCACCTGGGTGCACGGTGATCTTATGCATCTGATCAAGCTTGCTGACAAAGTGGATGCCAGCGCGGCATGTGGACAAAAGCACGGATATAGCCATTTCAGTCTTCCCAGTCCCAGGCAGACCACGCAGGATTAAGGTATGGGTGAGGGATTGGGTCTCCTTCCACTGCAGGACCCGTGGAGGTACATCAAAGTGCTCCAAAGGAAAGCGTGGTGAGGTGATAAGAGTTGAAGCCCCCAAGGTTTCAGGTCGGTGCCACGCAGCCAAGATTTTCTGCACTTCCGCAGCTGGATCCCGAAGCTGCCCCACATGGTCCCAAACCAAAGAGTTGCCACGCATCTTTTCCTCTTTGGCGGCCTGGCGATGAGAGGGAATTATAAACAAAGCACTTTGGGCATGACCACAAAACCCGCGGCATCCCCAACGAAGTGATTGGACCAAACATTGGACTGCCTATGATGCACCTTGTCGTTCCAACCGCGTTGTTTCTACCAAGGAGGATGCTTATCTAAGACTGATATTACGCTTGATGGAAAACAGTCTCCAGATTGTATGTGTGCCAGGCCTTCCATAGCTCTGCCACGGTTGAAATCTTCCTTTCGACAACAAAGTCTGTAAGCTCGCTAAAAGACATGCGCCGGCGTCGTTTCTGCAAGGCCTCCGACGGACCTTTCTGCAGCCCCTCATGCTTCTTTCTGCCAGCCACCTGCGAGGACATCCCTGCAAGCTCGCCATCAGCTTTCTGCTTGGTGTAACTTGACGGATAAAACACAAGGTCACGGTCTAAATCATGCGCTGGTTTCTTTGCGCTCTCCATCATCAGGTAATCCAGATAGGTGCACCAGCCCGCGCGATGAAATGTGAAGAATCCATGGTACCCAAACTCTTCGGCCAACAGCTTGCGAACGCCAGCGTGCACAAACGGAGCTCGAAACAGAAAGATGAGGTGTTTGTGTCTTTCCCGAGAAGCACCATCGGGCTGGTAATGCTTGTGCGGTTCATCCGCCACGGCAGCCTTCACAAGATTGTGCAAGTAACCTTTGCTCTTCAGCGCTTTTGTGAAGGCCTCCAACAGTTTCTCCTTGGAAACATCACAAGGCTTAAGGACCTTTGCTGCTCGTCGATCTTCCAAGTCTTGGAAAAAATGCCGCGGACATGGCCAAGTAAACATACCAGCATATGCCCTCGCTTTAGCTGGTGCATTCTCAGCCTCTGTGGAAGTGTCGCTGTTGCCCAAAGTCACAGATGGTTTTTCCTCCTCATGGCTTGATGAAGAGGACGAAGAGGACGAAGCGGGCGAAGCGGATCCGGAGGACTTCGACGTGGCCATGGCCTTGGACATGATTAGTGATGATTTACAGTTGCGTGCATTATATACAACTACCATCATAGAGTCCTAAACTTGGTGCGTTTTGTTTGGCAGGAACCACAGTTTGAGTAAACTAAAAGTGCGCCAAAGCTTGCGCCTTCCACAAAAAATGAAAGCAAAGGTTCACCAAACGCTGCGCCTGCCACAAAACCTGCACTTCGAGGTTCATAAAGTGCTGCGCCTGCCATGAAATCTGCACTTCGAGGTTCACAAGACGCTGCCCCTCCTACGAAATCTGCACTTAGAGGTTGACAAAGTGCTGCGACTGCCACGAACTCTGCACTTCGAGGTTCTCAAAATGCTGCCCCTCCTGCGAAATCTGCACTTTCAGGTTCACGAAATCTCCACTTCGAACTTCGAGGTTCCCAAAATGCTGTGCCTGCCATGAAATCTGCACTTCGAGGTGTACAAAGCGCTGCGCCTGCCACGAAATCTGCACTTTCAGGTGCACAAAGCGCTGCGCCTGCCACGAAATCTCCACTTGGACGTTCAGAAAGCGCTGCGCCTGCCACGAAATCTGCACCTGGAGGTTCACAAAGCCCTGCGCCTGCCACGACATCGGCACCTCGAGGTTCACAAAGCGCTGCGCCTGCCACGAAATCTCCACTTTCAGCACAGCCAGCGCGGCCAAAATCGGAGTACTCCCCACACGAAAACGCAAATCATAACGTTGGAATCCAACGTTACGATCCGTTTTCGGCGACAGTTTCACAAAAAAGTGCAAATCATAACGTTGGACTCGGTTCAAAAAAGAGAATTACTATAATCTTTTTCAAACGCGTCCAACGTTACGATTTCGACTTTTGTCCCACGCCTGCCACGTAAAACGAGCATAACGTTGGATTCCAACGTTACGATTCAGCGTCTGGCCACACGTTGGGCCACCTGGAGCTTCAAATTCCGTGCGCCGGCCACGAAACATGAAAGCAGGTTTTCACCAAACGCTGCGCCTGCCACCAAAAATCGAACTAGAAGTTTAAGAAATGCTGTGCTTGCCACGAAAAATGGAACAAGAAGTTCACTAAATGCTGCGCCTGCCACGACAAATGGCAACAGAGGTTCACCAAAAGCTGCGCCTGCCACGAAAAGTGGAACTAAAGTTTACCAAACGCTGCGCCTGCCCCGAAAAATCGAATCAGAGGTTCAACAAATGCTGCGCCTGCCACGAAAAGTGGAACTAGAAGCTTACCAAATGCTGCGCTTGCCGCAAAAAATGGAAACAGAGGTTCACCAAATGCTGCACCTGCCACGAAAAGTGGAGCTAGAAGTTTAACAAACGCTGCGCCTGCCCCGAAAAATCGAATCAGAGGTTCACCAAATGCTGCGCATGCCACGCAAAGAGGTCCCCTGTGCGTGCCACGAAAACTGATTCCACAAGTAGCGCACGCATTGACGGTACCTATGGGACACTATGCAAGAGGTTAAAGGAAATGAGTGTGTTTTTGCATTTTCTACACATCACTTGTGACACTGCGGTTCCTCTTCGACTATTGAGTGAAAAATGGAAGTTCTCTGTTTTGAGATGGAGCTGATCATTTCAATATGTTGTGACTGAGCCACATGATGATCGAATCAGACAGAGGTTCAGCAAGGTGACGGCTTCCAAGCTCTGTTCCTGAGGTCGCCCGGCGCGCAAAAGCACGCTCGAACGCAACTTCCAAACTCCCACAAAGTGCGGACACCGCACGGCACTGAGAAGGCCGAGGTTAATGCGAATGAAAGTTTGGATCCATGTGTCCAGTGTGCATATCAATCGGACCCCAGCAGCCGAAAACCGAAACCATGGGGGTATCTAACACTGAAGGCAACGCCAACATGCCCCACCGCGTCGCCCAACACGCCGAGCGGCCACCTGCATGACAAACGCCGCAAGGTCCAAGCCGAAGGTCAAAGCCTGCAGGTTTGCTCTGCAAGGCGACGGCTTCCAAGCAGCCTGTTCCTGAGGTCACACCGGCGCGCGACAGCACACCCAAATGCAACTTCCAAAATTATCACTGAAATACGGGCAGCTCACGGCACTGAGAAGGGCGAGGTTAACACGAATGAAAGATTGGATCCATGTGTGCATATCAATCGCCCCAGCAGCCGAAAATAGAAAAGCATGGAGACATCTAATAAATGTAAAATAGGGGATGCACTCATCACCGACATCCCACCCACCGCGTCGCCCAACTGCATGACAAACGCCGCAAGGTCCAAGCCGAAGGTCAAAGCCTGCAGGTTCGCTCAGCAAGGCGACGGCTTCCAAGCAGCTGTTCCTGAGGTCACACCGGCGCGCGACAGCACGCTCGAATGCAACTTCCAAAATATCACCCGAAATGCGGACAGTGCACGGCACTGAGAAGGCCGAGGTTAAACGCAAATGAAAGTTTGGATCCATGTGTGCATATCAATCGTCCCAGCAGCCGAACGCAGAAAGCATGTGGACATCTGAACCTAAATAAGGGATGCACTGAAGGCATCGCCAACACGCCCACCCCAGGAGCCCCTAGTAGCGTCCTTGCCCCTATAGTAGTAAGGCAGGAAGTAGCATCCTTGCTCCTAGTAGTAAGGCCAGGACCCCCCTAGTAGCGTCCTTGCTCCTAGTAGTCAGGCCAGGAGCCCCTAGTAGCATCCTTGCTCCTAGTAATAAGGCAGAGCCCCTAGTAGCATCCTTGCTCCTAGTAGTAAGGCCAGGAGCCCCTAGTAGCGTCCTCGCTCCTAGCGATAAGGCCAGGAGCCCCTTGCTCCTAGTAGCAAGGCCAGGAGCCCGCGTCACCCGACAGGCCAAGCGGCCACGTGGCCGGTTGATACGACCACGGGCGAAGAGCTCGAAGTCGAAGAAGGCACCTGCATACCGACGAGCGAGCGACCGCGGTAGTAAGGCCAGGAGCGCCGAGTAGCGTCCTCGTTCCTAGTCATGTGCCTAGTGGCGTCCTTGCTCCTAGTAGTAAGGCCAGGAGCCCCTAGTAGCGTCCTTGCTCCTAGTAACTAGTAATAAGACCAGAGTAAGGCCAGGAGCCCCTACTAGCGTCCTTGCTCCTAGTATAAGGCCAGGAGCCCGCGTCACCCAACAGGCCGAGCGGCCACCTTGGCTGGTTGACACGACCACGGATGAAGAGCTTGAAGTCGAAGAAGGCACCTGCAAACCGACGAGCGCGCGACGCAGTAGTAAGCCCAGGAGCGCCGAGTAGCGTCCTCGCTCCTCGCAATGTGGCCAGGAGCCCCTAAGAAGGCCAGTAGCAAGGCCAGGAGTCCTTGCTCCTAGTAACAAGGCCAGGAGCCCCCCTACTAGCGTCCTGAAAGTAAGGCCAAGAGTCCCTAGTAGCGTCCTTGCTCCTAGTAATAAGGCCAGGAGCCCCTAGTAGCGTCCGTGCTCCTAGTAGTAAGGCCAGGAGCCCGCGTCACCCCACAGGCCGAGCGGCCACCTGACCGCGGATGAAGAGCTCGAAGTCGAAGAAGGCGCCGCGCATCAGCCGCTGGCGCATCAGCCACCGAATGACATGGAGCGGCGAAACCAACAATTTAAAAGCGCTACATCCACAACGCAACATAACGTTGCCATTAGCAACCGAAGCAAACGTTGAGCAAGGTCATTTGCTCGAAAAGTGTAACAAAACAGAATGTTGAGAAGGGTCCTTGAAAGCACTAGGAGCAACAAAGTCCACAGTCTTGGCAGGGTCAGATTGTGGTTTTGCTATCATCTTGTGGTCTGCTTGTCTTTAATTTCTGTGATACCGTTTTTCCTTTCAAAGTTGTTCCGCTTCCTGGCTGCAATCCAGAGCAAGAATGACCGAAGGGTTTCCGAAAACTGCTTCTGGAGGTGGTCCAAAACATAAACCCCGGTAACAAGGCAAGGGCAACCGCACGCAACCAAACAATTTGCGTCACATGTTTCTTTATTGGGCCAACCCTGTAGTTGACGCATCATATTACACGGTAATAGTATGTCAACATCAAACATCTCACTATCTCTTTGAGGAGCTCATATTATCTGCCTCAGCTGCTGCAGGGTACTGCGGGCACGACAAACCTGGACTAGCAAGCCTAGACGAGAGAGGGAGAGATGTGAGGGACTCTAGCCCAGCATACGCCAGCTTTTGCGAGCACGGCCAGTTCGGCAAGGTTGCTCTTACAGCCCTCGCTCAGCAGTTGTCAGCTTAGCTGTAAACAAAAAGCTAGCACGTGGGTGACAGGTGACATATTTATCGCTTGCGCCGGCTTCTGCGAGCACGGCCACTTCAGCAAGGTTGCTCTGACAGCCCCCGCTCAGCAGTTGTCAGCTTAGCTGTCAACAAAAGCTAGCACATGGGCGCAAGTCTCTCTTTCCCCAAACACTGCCAATGTGCCCTGCAATATAGCTATGTGGACATCTGCTCAGACTGCTCAGATTGCACTCGACGCGCCAGCAGCCAGGTGAGATCAGCAGAGCTCAACTTGCCAGCGCGCCGCATGAGTCTCTGTCGCTTTTTCTCCTGCATGTGCGCCAGAATGAGTCGCGCCGCGCGCAAGTCGGAAGCACAAGCAACACAATACTGCATCAAATTTCAACAATACATGTGGATCATGCGCCGGTCGCCTCATTGCGAACCTCACGGTTCGCTTGCTGGAGCTGCCGCTTCAGGTTCTGCCGCTGTGTTTTGAGCGAAACCAGCCGATCGGCGGCTGGGTGCCTCACGACTTAAATTCATCAGGAAGTGGTTGGAGGTCTGAACCAGTCTGGTGCCAAGTATAGCCTTTCCAAAAATGATAAACATTAATGTCCAGATGCGGCCCAAACAAAATCACGTTGCTTGTGGGCGCTCCCAAACATGATCAGCGTACTATGTGCGCGCCGGCGGTGCGAACCAACAGATATATGATGGCGGGGCGCCTCGCAGCCGGAGCTGCTGCTGCTGTTGCTTCTTCATCAGCGGCTGCGTCAGACATGGCAGTCGGGAGTGTCTATATAATATATAAATATTGGGGACGAGTGCTTGAGC